CCTTCAACTGCACTTCTGATAAAACTCAGTGTGAAGATGGGGTTTCCCAGAGAAAGACCCAAGGTGTTGTTATTGCATAAACCACAGATTCTCATAGACTATATATTTTTCCTTTTCCTTTATCCTTTTTTTCTTATTCCTATTAAGTACGTACTTAATAATATGTAGGTAGCATACTTTCTAAGTTCTTGTATGTCTGAAAATAACTATACATTACCGTCATAACTCGATGGTTTAAATTCTAACTGCCTAACATCTGGCTTCCCACTTACACAAAATTTAGTTGGGACAAAGAGTTTTCTATATGTTCTAGTGTAATACAAATCAGAGGGCTGTTTCCAGATCTTCAGACAAACACACTTTCTGTCATTCATTTGTAATAAAGCAAAACAAATGTGACCAAACAAAACTAGTAACCAAATACCATGATGGTGATAACATCATGAGATCATGGTTTAATACTTCCTCCAAATTTCAGTTCTTACTTTTTCACTGTCCACTTCCTGTCACACAGCTATTTGCCTTAAGAGTTAAATCAGTAAACAGAGTTTAAGGACTTCGGCGTTGAGCATTAAAGTAAGTGTTAATCAAAGATGCACAAGAAAATCCCAAATACTTTTTGAATTAAGCATGTTAATAATTTTAACTAGGTCATGTTTTTAAACAATAAATGGATTTTTTTTCTCCTGAAATGAGAATGAGGAGGTAAACTGAATTTCTTACATTGGACTAAAACATGAAATATCCATTTACATAATACAGATCTTGATGTTATAGCTCCATGAAATAATTTGAAAATATCTAAACATACATATTCAAATAAAAAATTAAAGTTTGAAACAAAGTAGGTGCAAAATAAGCCTACTAGTGTAAAATTAGAAACACCAAATGTATTACAAATTAGAGTACTTATTATTGGTTAGAATATGTTGATAATTAAGCTAAAGTCATGCGCTTAATTCCCGATGTACCAGTTTCCTCTGCTTTGTTACAGAGACACAGGCTGAATCACAATTCCCAGCTGTCTTGGAAGTGTGCATTATTGATCAAGAGGGGTACACAGCGGACGTGGGGAAAGATTAGTCCAAATTCCATTACAATAACAGGAAAAACAATTCTGAGCACATTCCCTACAGAGAGTGGGTCAGCAGCTTAATGTTATCTCAGTTTGGCATGTGTCTCTTGTAGACAGATGCTTAATGATAGTTCTTTGTAATGTTAATAATGATGAAAAGAAGATACATTTTCAAACTATATAGCAGCTTTCCAAAACAGGTAATTTTAAGATTGTGAGATTCATGAACAACACATCCAGTTCATCAAATATTAGCTCTTGAATCTTTGGGGGCTTAAATTTTATGTATTAAAAATTCTGATTTGGAAAAGCACTGTCAGTCTTGCTCTATGACATAATGTAACCACAATTAATTAAGTCTAATCCCACAACAATGTAAAAAAATTATATATATGTCTGTATATTTGTATAGTATAAAGCACCAAAGGTATCAGAGAGAGGGGAAATGCTACCATTACTTTGAACTTAGTGAAGCTAACTAGAGGAAATAAATATTAGAAATATGTAGACAGTACAAAAAACCTGAATACATTACAATGGAGGAAAATGTTTTCTCATATTTCCCATTAAATATATTTTCAGGCATCTTGGTTCACTTTTATATTATTATTAAGTTACTATGCTTAGATATTTTAGAGCAAATTAGTTTTTGTGCAGTCACATAATTCAATCCTCTTATATACAGAGGACATTTGAGGCAGAAAAAAACCCGAAATTTTTGGAGTGTTCATACCAAGTGTCATATCTTCTGATAGACATTGTATAAACATACCTAATTTAGTCTTCATCAAAAAAAAGTACAACAAAAATTTTATAAGGTGATTAATGTTATCCTCATTTAATAATGTGGCAAATAGAGCTAGGTAAATTCAGTGAGTTGCCACGGGCTCCAAACTAGCATAGCCCTGAGTTTTAAACAAATGATATGCGGGCGCCTGGATGGCTGAGTTGGTTAAGTGACTGCCTTCGGCTCAGGTCATGATCCTGGAGTCCCTGGATCGAATCCCGCATCGGGCTCCCTGCTCGGCAGGGAGTCTGCTTCTCCCTCTGACCCTCCCCCCTCTCATGTGCTCTCTCTCATTCTCTCTCTCAAATAAACAAATAAAATCTTTAAAAAAAAAAATGATATGCACTTGGACTTTTATGACTTATCAGTGCCAAAGATTGCTTATTGTTCAACAGTATCCAGTTTTTCTGTTTTCCATGATAGTACAATATTCAGCTGGGTATACTGTTTCGCAGCTAGACCAGATTTCTGTAGACTCCCTTTCAGCTATGTGTCGATATATGACCAAATTCTGGCCTATTTTATGCATGTAATTTCTGGGTTGTGCCTTATCTTCTTCCTTCCTACAGGCTGGAGTTAGAATATAATGGCAAGAGTTGAGTAGCCATCTTGAGCCACGTTATGGAAACTATGTTTTGGGAATGGCAGAAAACAAGTTATAAGGAAATTTAGTCTCCAGCAATATTAAGTTGATATAACCTTCTTGGACAGACTATTTAAACATTTCCATTTGTTTAAGTTGCTGAACCTTTATGTATATTTGTATTTTACAATGTGTGTGGTGTAACTCTTTGCTAAAACAGCTGTGTGTTATAACTAATATAACATTGTTTATATTTTTCTTGTAGATAACTACACTTTTGATGGTGAATTAAAAAAAAGACTTATTCTACCCTAAGATGATGGTCATAAATTATGAAAACATTTTGCTTTGTGTGCTAGAGAAAAATACACAAAGAAATCAAACTTCAGTTTCTCCATTCTAGATATTATAATTCAAAAACATATTAATGTAAATGTATTGATGCACATGTGATTAAAAACAGTAACATTGTACATTTAAAATGTACGTGATTAAAACCAATAACACGCGGGCACCTGAGTGGCTCAGTCGGTTAAGCGTCTGCCTTCGGCTCAGGTCATGATCCCAGGGTCCTGGGATTGAGCTTTGTATCAGGCTCCCTGCTCAGCGGGGAACCTGCTTCTCCCTCTCCCGCTCCCCCTACTTGTGTGCTCTATCAAATAAATAAATAAAATCTTTAAAAAAATAAATAAAATAAAATAAAACCAATAACACACAAGAACAACAACAAAAGCAACTCCAACTGCAGATAAAATAAAAAGTGAAGCACAAATAATTTAAATGATAAATAAACTGCATAATGGCAATTTCATATACATCATGAAAACCCATTATCTAGCACTACTGCATCCCTTGGCGTAAGAAAGTGGCAAAATCTGTCTAGTTGATTCTTTCGAAAATAAAAACTACTGAAGAAATAGACAAATGGGCAGAAAGTAAGAGCAAATGGAGAGCCCACCCTACGTGATTCACTGTAATGAGGATGCCTCCAAAACTAAAGTGAACTAAGTATTATCATATAAAAATAACTTGTCCTTATTTCATCATTAATATTTCTTTTTTTAAAAGATTTTATTTATTTCTTTGAGAGAGAGAGAGCATGAGCAGGGAAAAGGGCAGAGGGAGAAGCAGACTCCCCACTGAGCAAGGAGCCCAACGAGGGGCCCGATCCCAGGACCCCAGGTAATGACCTGAGTCGAAGGCAGATGCTTAAATGACTGAGCCATCCAGGTGCCCCTCAGCATTAATATTTCAATTACCTCTTTACTAAATATACTTTAACAGACTCTAATAATATTTTAAAAATCATTCATTTCACTCTTTGTAATTTTCCAGCATTTGAAATATTAGCAAGTACAGGGGTATACAAGAGATTTTAATCTGGAGTATTTTTCTATAAATAAAATGAAAAAACTCCTAAACTATTCATATAATATCATTATCTTAAAATTAAGAATGTTTAGTGACTTTAGAAGGGAAGTCATTACTTTTAATATTTTATATTTAGGCAGCTAGGTGTTTACTAGGTGAACAATAAAAAAAATTTGTGAGCAGTAAAAAAGATTTAAATGATAAGATGGCTTTGTGTCAATTTTAGAGAGATATTTTATATTTAAAGGCATTTAATATCTTAAAATACATTTATTTTTTAAGATATAAAGTATGTAATAAAACCTATTTTCAATACACTTAATAGAGATATTAACTACAAACTACTGACACAAAGTAGTTGCTATACCTACATATCTCAACCTATGTTTATATATATCTATCTATAGCTCTATTTATATCTAATTCAGTTGTTCTAGTATATGGGGCATTCTTCTTATTTTGTACTCCCTAATTAACTTTTTCTCTTTCTTGATAGGTCAAATCCAGGACAGAGCACAATTACACATAATATCTAAGACTCTTGCAAAACAGATATATTATTCTACTTCATTTTTTGATTTTTCAATTTTTTCCTCCTCTTAAGGATCTACGTGAATCCATATGTGCAGCGCAACATTTCCCACTGGATTACTTTATAACCATCAAAGTGAGACTTTCCAGAAGAAATAACTGTTTTCTATAATAAAGCAAAGTACCAAGTCCTGCGTTGCTTTGCCAGGAGATCTGCCCTTGCTTTCTGCCTGACTGCACAGTAAAACATCATGGAGAGAAGGCATGGGCAGAGACAGTGATGGGCAATGACAGTTTTCTCAACAGTATTTCTGCTCTGAAGATTGTAGAAATATAAGGGCACCTCCATGTCAGCAGTTTGAAAGAAAATTTCTTGTTTGACAACTGTGGCATGCAGTACAAATTCTTGTGATTTGGTTGTTTACAACACTTGGGAAAATGCCAAAGTTGCAGTAAATATCAATACCAAATGATAGATGCACCTTCTTGTTTTTTCTGTAAGACTAAAGGAGAGATTTTACTTTTATTCCTGTAGGTGATCCCTTACATTTATAGTGAGTATTTCTCTATTTTAGCCAACTCAATTAAAATAATGTATATTTAGAAACTATAATTAAATGAAACAATAAAAATAATGATATGTACAATCTTACCAGGTGAAGATAAGGCATAGTAATGTAGATATTAAAATCAAAACTTGATTAAACATTGCAGATTGTGTACGCTGAATGGCTCTGTGCAGATCATTCTAAAATAAAACCAAAAAGCATATTTTAATTTTGAAAATACTACATATCAATGAGTTTCACTACATTTATTACTGTGTAGTATATTTCAACTATCTTGTGCACACTTGATGCATATACTTTAAATGGATATAGCAACATATTTCCATTTTTGCCTAGGTCTAAATATACTTTACCTTAGCATTCATATTACAAAAATGACACTATGGGGGACCACCAAAGCCCCAAATTTCAGTTTACTCCCCCTTATCAACATTTATAGAGATGTTGCACTGACTCCCAAAAAGCTCTCCACAGTAAGCAATGTCTATAATGGAAAATTCTAATTTTAAGAGTAATAGCTAGGTCAAGCTACAATCACATCTCATTCTCTGAATCAGGAAAAATGACATGAAATATGCCAGGCAATCTATCATGAACAGAAAAAACTAAACAGCCAATGAACAAAATTTTTTAAGTTTAATTTCATTAATATAAAGATAAAGGTGAATTAAAGATATAATTTCTATCTTTCCAATTGAAAAATGTTAAAAAATAATAATATCCAATATTGTTTAAAATGCAAAAAAGTGAGCACTCACAAATGATTGATATTGCCCATGCAATTTGTTATAAAATTTCTTGAAGGTGATTTGGTAACACAAGTCAAAGCCATGTCCTTTTTATTTCATGCATTCATTAATTAATTTAATGAGTACGTACTCAATAACATAACTTCTAAAAACTGACCACATGAAAATCATCAGAGATAAAAATTAATATTTGTTAATTTTTATTACAAAATTACAATACTTATATGAAATAATGAATGTTCATTACTACTAAAATATGCAATACAAAAAGGTTAAACAAAGTCATCAAAACTATACAATAGATTTAGATGCAGCTATTAAAAATGATTAGAAGACATATGAAATTGAGCACTACAAAAACAAAATTCAAATTATAACATTGAACATACAATGTAATTTCATACATGATATGTGTGCATTCTTTTCAGAGAAAATATTACAAGAATATAAGTTATGACTAGTATTTAGTCTGTGGTACATTCATAGGTTTTCATAATTTATAGTTTTCTGTTCATCTCAAATATTTTATAATAAACTTTTAACTGTCTTGAAGTCAGTGTTGCATGAAATAAATCACTTCACCAATATAAAATCTCAACAAGCCACTATTTTCTCTTCCTCTACCATATATTTAACCAAACTGTTAAGAAAACAAAAATCTAAGTTGATTAGAAGTTCACCTCTCATCCCTTACTTTCTTTTTGACAGAGGTGTTAATGAGCAGAAAAATAAACATTTCTCCAACCAGTGAAAGGAGAAGTAAAATATAGAAACACAATGGAAAATGAATCCTAAATTAATATTGCAAAGCACTACTTTCACTCTCAGTGATTGACTAATGATTCCTCCCTTGGTTAGGTTATTTTTTTCCACCAACTAATAACACAAATTAGTGAAAAGAGGGTTATTTTTTCCTGGCGTATTTTTTTCTTTTGCAATTTAGGCAATCCATATTTAGTGAAATAGTATTTTTGGGGGGAATAGTGAAGACAGCCCAACATTTCATCAAATCATTCCACAGGTCATACTCCCCCATCATTTGGACATGCATTTTCATGAGATTCCAGTGGTTATTTAAAATAAATGTTTAGAAACATTCATTTGGTTGTGAATACTCAAATGCTATCCAAATATACCTTTGGCTAAAATTTTTGTGTTCCATTTCTGTTCAAAAACATTTAAAAGGAAAACAAGTTTGCTTCCAAGCAAATTTAATTTCAATGTAGTAAAATTAACAGTATTGAGCCCTTACTACATTTATGCCAGATACAATATTTTATACACACACACACACAAATCTATATGTTATACATGTATGTAATTTCATTTAATTTTTATAACAAGTCTGTAGGGTAACTACTTTAGTTCTCTTCTGAAGACAAGTAACCAAAGCTATTGGTAGCTCTGGCTTGGTGATATTTAGAAAATCTGGGAGGAGGGGCACCTGGGTGGCTCAGTCAGCTAAGCATCTGCTTTTGGCTCAGGTCATGATACCAGATTCCTGGGATCGAGCCCTCACTCAGTGGGGATCCTGCTTCTCCATCTCCCTCAGTCCCCCAGCTTGTGCTCTCTCTCACTCTCTCTATCTCAAATAAATAAATAAAATCTTTAAAAAAAAAAAGTCTGGGAGGAGAGGAAAAGATGGTGGAGGAGTAGCAGACCCTATTCCAACTGGTCCCCAGAATTGAGCTGGATTTCTACCAGACCACTCTAAACACCCACAAAATCAGCCTGAGATGTAAGAAGATATATCTGGATCTCCACAAACAGAATATCGCAGGCGGTTGGTTTCCAGGTATGAAGTGCGGAACTGTGATTCCGCAGGCACATATCTGAAGATAAACAGGAGGGGGAGAGAGCCGTGGGGATCCTACACCACCGATAAGCAATAGCCTCCCATGCTGGGGACAGGGCACAGACTAGCAGACCAGTAGCGGCGGGGAAAGGAGTTTAGGGCAGCCCCCCAGACAGAAGCCCAGAGCATCAGGGCTCCACATGCGAACTGGGGGCGGCTGGCGGTTTTAGAAGCACAGGACAGAGACGTGCCCCGACCTGGAGGCGAGGACTAGGAGCCCTGCTGAGGGGTGTACAACCCAGGATACTGCACTTTATAGCAGCACAGACAGAAACGGAGATAGTGTGGCCTGGAGAGCTCACTGAAGAACAGACTGCGATCTCTCTGTTCTGAGGCAGAGGGTTGAAAATGATCACTTATGCTCTGACTCTCGGAAGAGATGCAGAAAGCTGCCAGGGAAAGCCGCCAGAGAATAAAAGCCCCAAAAACTGGTTTTCACTGAGCCCATCCCCTCCCCACATGGGGCAGGGCAACTTTACCCAAACAGGGTTGCCTGAGTAACAGCACAGCAGGTCCCTCCCCTAGAAGACAGGCTGGGAGAACAAGAGGCAAACAACCCTAAGGTCCCTATAAAACAGGTGCATCTGGCTTGGGTTGTGGTCAATAATTTGGACTCTGTACATTCACTCAACCACCCGTCAACAGAATGACTAGGAGGAGGAAGCCCCGAAATAGGAAAGACTCAGAGACTGTGACTTCTGCCACGGATTTACAAATGGATATAGATATAACCAAGATGTCGGAAATGGAATTCAGGGTAACAGTTATGAAGACAATAGCTAGAATGGAGAAATCGATTAATGGCAACATAGAGTCTCTAAGGGCAGAAATGAAAACTGAAGTGGCAGAACTTAAAAATGCTATCAATGAGATCCAATCTAATCTAGATAATCTAACAGCTACGGTAAGAGAGGCAGAAGAATGAATTAATGATCTAGAAGACCAATTGATAGAAAAGAAGGATAAAGAGGAGGCCATGGAGAAACAACTCAAAATCCATGACAAAATCAGAGAAATAAGTGACACCATGAAACATTACAATGTCAGAATTATTGTGATATCTAAGAGGGTGGAGAGAGAGAGAGGACTAGAAGATATATTTGAGCAAACTGTAGCTGAGAACTTTCCTAATCTGGGGAATGAAGCAAACATTCGTGTCTTAGAGGCAGAGAGGACCCCTCCCAAGATAAGGAAAACAGGCCACTGCCCCGGCATGTAATAGTAAAACTCAAATCTTAGAACCAAGGAAACCATCTTAAGGGCAGTTAGGGGGAAGAGATTCCTTACGTACAGAGGGAGGAACATCAGACCTATCCACAGA